TTTAGACCATGGAATAGAAATGGAGAATTACCCTATCTCAGCCTCCCCCAATAGCCTTTTCCTTATTACCTTGGGACAGAGTAAGAGATCATCACCAACTCCCAGAAATTCCCTGGCATTCAGAACAACCCCATGAGAACCCCAGGGTCTCTGCTCTGCACCAACAGTCGTGACTGACCATCCCTGCGCTGCTGCTACAGGCACAATCCAGTCTGGAGACACACGGTTATCAGCTGTCTACAGAGGAACTTCACATTCCTCTCAGGCTTAGCTACAGCATGATGAGGGGCAGGCAGCCTCTCAGGAACACAGAAAGCACAGAACATCTTATTCCCCTTACAAAAACTCACACCTAAATGGGACCAAGCTAGAAAATCCAACATTCAGAATTCAAATACACCTTGAACCCCCGAGCACCAAACAGGCACCAATGAAGTGCAACATTCAGCAGGAAATGTAACCACTGCCACTGCTGGATGTAAGAGAATTGCTCAGTTCACAGACAGATCAAGTCTAAGATTTTTCCAGTCTCAAAGAGATTACTGGAAATAACATAAAACTGTCACAACAAAAACCAAACACAAATACATGGGATCCAATATTGCTATAAGAAGTAAAATAATTCATAGACAAGTTTTAGAAGTGAATAGTATGTGCTTAATAATATAATAATCAGAACATCTGGATCTCCTCTAACTTCTTTAATTGGAGGAATTAAAAGTACTTCACAAATAATTAAACTCAATTAGGCCATCCAAATTGTTTGTATGATTGTTGAAAGCCTCCCAATTGTAGCTTCTGTAGGAATGGTTCCATGTGGATTTGTTTTCATTTGACTGTAGATATTCCATTCTGAAAATTTTCTGTTGACTCATCAGAGAAATCACAGCCAACACTACTGCTTTCTCTTTCAGAATCAAGAAACACCTAAGAATTCCTGTCTTCCTGTCCTATCTTTTGTGGGCTTTTCAAGCAAAAAAGCATCATCCCATGATGTGTGATTCTCAATGTTAATTTAAACAAATATCAGAGTCAGATTTGATTTAAACTAGCATGAAGAGAATTAGAATTCATTATTATTATTGGGAGCAAACAGCTGATATTTTCAAGAGAGTTCTCGTAATTCTGACTTGTCATTTAGACATATGATGCTTTGTGAAACTTTCAACTGGTTCACGGGAACTGAAGTTACAGTCACAGGAACTGGTAATGAGTTACGAAATTAATGAATTTTTATTGCTAAATTAAGACTTACCAGCTTTTCTCATCAGCCTGCCCTAAAAAAAGAGGACATTGGTGAAACTGGAAGGACAAAAGAACCATTGTTTGAAAAATACAGCCATCTTTACTATGACAGAAGCAACAATACACTTGAAGCTATCACAGCACTTTAACCAACACAGTAAATTCAACACATACCTTACAACAGAGAGAAAAGCACTAAAAGAGCATTGAACAAGGTTAGAAAATATCAGAATTAAATTGGTCCTTGCCAACAACATGCACATACAGTGAAGTCTTCCCTGTCGTACATACAAGTTCCTCCAGGCCCAGGAACTGCTGCCTCAAGCACGAGTGAAAAAGCCTTACAATTCCTGAAATTCCGTAGCACTTTGGAAAGCATCCCCCTCTCAGCTGAGGGAAGCAGCTCAGAGCACAAAGAAATACAGGTGTGTGGAATTAAGGGTTAGGCTACAAACCACACACAAAAAATTGAACCTGGCTCTGCAGTAACCTTTAGCACTTTACACCTGATTTTCCAGTGTGTACGGACAAAGTCATCCATAAATAACTTTGGGCATTTCTTCCCACTCTGCATCCCAGAACTCACAAACTAAACTGAGCCTGAGGTGCTGCATCCCTGTCAGGGACTGAACAGGGCAGAAACATGGACAGGAAATTGTGGGCTGTGCTGGACCACAGCTACGAGCAGCAAGACACCCCTGAAGTAAACACACCGAGCACATTTATGACAGGTGTCACAAAGAAATTATATGGCTCAAGACACAGATAAGAACATTAGGGCTTTTGGCAAATATCCACAAACCAGATCGCACAAACTACACACAGATATCAAGTTTTCACACATTTGTATCTCAATCAACTCAAAATGTGTTTCAGAGCAGAAGACAACACAAAGCAATCCCATGCCCACATGGTTATGTGTGTGCTTCAACTCTCTCAATAAAACAGCTCTTTCCCTTGTACTTGTGAAAAAACCTCAAACCTGTACATGTGTATTAAACAATTTTAAATTCTATTTAAAGCCTAGCAGGATTATAATGCTTACAGGAATAAAAAAAATCATAATAACATACAGAAACTTTGTCCTGACGCACCTTCAGTGACAACATTCCAAGTAGTTCAGTAGCCTGGGTTGCACCTTCCAAAACTCCACAAGCTAATACCAATAACTGTCATTCACATCCCTCGAGCCCCCCATATCTCTTTTTGCATTTTCATGCCATCACATCACTACTGACCCAAATCTCCATCTCACACCTCTCACCAAACTGAACGCTAATGCACACAAAGGAAAATCAGAGTCAGACCCGTTAAGATGAAGGAACATTTCCTCTCAATTCACTTTAATCTTATCACTAGGAATCTGGCTGTCAGCCAGACCGAGTCCACACTACTCATTATCCTGCAATACCAGCCAGCACCTGGGAGCGCAGCCAGCCTCAGGAACCGCACACCGGGCTGAGACGCGAAATGCCCAAGCAAGGGCCGAGCTTTCCCCGGGCCAGGGACGACGCTCGGGAAGCGCCCCAGCAGCTCCCGCTCCGCTCCCTCGCACGGGGCCGGGCAGCACCGAGGCCACGGCCGCTTCATCCGAGCCCAGCCCTGGCTCCGCCTGAGCCGCGCTGAGGACCGCGCCCCGCCTCGCCACTCCAAGGGTGGAGGCAAATAAGCGCTGCGCAACGAAGCGCCGGGCCTGGGAATGCTCAGCGGCCGCACAGCCCGGGCGCCCGGCGGCGGGGAGAGCCCGAGGAGCGCTGCGGCCGCACCCCAGGGCAAATCTGCGTCCCGGGGACCCCGCCCGGCCCGGCGCTCACCTGCGGCCTGGCTCCGCAGCCCGGCCCGGTCCCGCACTCACCCGCCCCGCGGCCTGGCCCCGCGCTCACCTATAGCCCCTACCCTGCCCCGCACTCACCCGCGGCCCAGCCCGGCCCCGCGCTCACCTACAGCCCTGCCCTGCCCCGCACTCACCCGCGGCCCGGCCCCGCGGCCCGGCCTAGGCCCACGCCATGGCGCCTTCCGTGCGCTCAGCGCCTGCGCCGGAAGTTCCGCCTGACGGCGCGCAGCCGCAGCCACAGCTCTGAGGCACCTCATTGGCCTCCTAGGCTGTCACTCACCCAAGAAGGGGCGTGGCGTGGCTCCCCATTGGACCCGCCCGCGGGGAAGGGCGGTGCCTCTCCCGCCCCGCCGCCAGGGGGCGCGCGGCGCCGGGCGGGCCCACAGCGCCGCCTCGAGGCGGCTCGGCCTGAGGGAGCGCGGGGAGGGGGGGCTGCTCCGCCACACAACTCCCGCAACCTGCGGTAGGAGACAGTGCGGGGCTGGAATTCCACCGGCGGCTGGGGGAGGTCTTGTCTTAAACAGCAACGCCAAACGCGGACAAGAGAGGAGGCGGAATTAACCTGAGCGTTAGGCCCCCCCACCGGCTTCTCGGGGCCTTGTACCTATTTCCCAGCCATAACATTGCAAACACTTCCTGTAGATATATCTATGGCAATTTATAAGCCTATAAATTGAAAAAAATTATGCTGGAACATGCTATTATGTTGTAAAACTAACCCTTCAACAGTTGACCAGCCTTTCTGTTTAACAAAATTAACTATTTTTTAAAGGAAAGAAGAGTTATGAGAAGATGTTATGCATCATGTTAGTAACTTACCACCTGTGATGGTTTTAGTCTAGGCCTTCCTGATGACCAGTTTGTAACCAAGGAAGTAGCCAAGTACCCAGTATTCCACACAATTTTTACGTAAACCAGAGTATAAATAAGTCAGAGATTAGAGACCTCGCTCTCTTCTCTTCCGGCGAGGTTTGGGAACAGTGGGTCCCTGCGTTGGTCTCGCTTATCTCAGGCTGAGGCCTGCAGAGTCCACCGTCCTGCCACAAGAAGGTTTGGAGAGTGCTGGCTGTGACTGCCGATCCTGCTGTTCTAAGGGACGTGGTGAGATCTGTTTTGTTAGTTATTAGTATAGTTTAATCTAGTATACCTGTTCGGTGTCCCTTTTATTCCCTTTCGTCCCCTTTTTTCCCCTTTCCCTATCCCTTCGAAGAGTGGACCCCCTTTTACTGTGTATATAGCATATTAACTGTACATAATTGAAATTTACGTAAATATAGATATATTTTTATATAAGCAACTTGACTTTGAGTTCTTTAATTTTTATAATTTCTTTTTCCTTTAACTTAAAGGAAAAAAGGAAGGGGAAAGGAGGCTGCTATCGTAACTTTCGGGCATTTAGCAAGAAGCCAAGTCCAAACCATCACACCACCCTGTTTTTTTTTTTTTGTTTTTTTTCTTTATTTAACATGGTAGGAACACGCTTTCAGCACCCTGGAGCAGCAGCACCACCAGCATTTGGATGACACAGATGTAAATGGCTGTAAATGGAAACGGGCTTGAACTGCGGATCTACAGCTGGCAGAATTATAATTTGATTCTGTTGCAGCAACACGCACTTCGGAGGGGACCCGTCACCCTGGCCCCCCCTAGCGCAGCTGTCCCGCAGCTTCCCGGAGCGATCCCGCCCCCCCGGCCCGGGACAGCGGTTCCCGCGGGGCCTGGTTCCTGCGGGGCAGGCCCGGCCCGGACAGCGGTTCCTGCGGGGCCTGGTTGCTGCGGGGCGGGCCCGGCCCGGGCAGCGGTTCCTGCGGGGCCTGGTTGCTGCGGGGCGGGCCCGGCCCGGGCAGCGGTTCCCGGGCGTTCCCGGGGGCGGGCCCGGCGCAGGCACGGGCGCAGGCGCGGCCGGGCCGTGGCGCGGCGGGGCGGGCAGGGCGATGCTGCTGGTGCTGTCGGCGGAGCACCGGGCGCACCTGGGCTGTTTGCCGCGGGCGGGCGGCGCAGGTCGGGGCCGCGAGGGGCCTGCGGGCGGCGGGGCCCGGGCCGGGGCTGCAGCGCGTCCTGCAGCGGGGTCTCTTCTCTCTCGTTGCAGGCGTGGGCGAGCTGGGGCGCCTGGCGCTGGAGCAGCTGCGGCGGGGAGCGGCACCGCGGGCCTGCGAGGCCGCCGCCAGTGAGAGCCGGGCCGGGGCCGTGGGGAGCGGGCGGATCGCACCGTGGGGAGGGCGGGACCGGGCCGCGGTTTCAAGGGGTCTTTAACATGTACGTTATTATTTGAAGGGTGTGAAACCTTCTTTTTTTTTTTTTTCTTTTTCTATGCCTATTTTGGAAGTTAGCGTTGCAGTTTTGAATCTCGCTGCTGTAGTAGTTAACGAGGAAGTAAAAGACACTTTGTCTTCTCTTTAAAGGAAAGCTGAACGTTGGCGTTGACACCATTCAGCATGGAGTAGAGGGACTAACGTATCTTCTTACTGAGAGCTCCAAGCTTATGGTAAGGACACTTTAGTGTAAGGATTTCAGGAATGCACTCCGGAGATGTCTTCTGAACACTTAGACCTCTGAAAATACTGGTGAATGGGGACAATGCAGCTCAAAATTTGATGACATATTTTCATTTCGGAGAAAGGTGTCTCAGACTGTTGTCTTATTGAAACACTGCATTTGTGTGGATGGCTGGAATTTGTATTCAGTGTCTGAAGCTAAAACTTGACAACATTGTAATGGCATAATTTACTCTATATAGGGAAGCATCCTTCAGGATTGAGCTCTAAATAATAAAACTCAAGCAAAGATTTTGTCCAGCTACTGTACATGACATGGGCTGGACTAACACCCTATTCATCATTCCTTGTCTTTGTCTCATGTGGTGGGTTTGAGAGCTTTTTCAGCTCCTGGTATCAAAGTTTTGGGTGGGTGTAAGCAGATACTAAAAGAATTGTAGTTGGATAATGACTGCTTCCGTTGTAACTTGATATAGTAGAATATTTGAACAATGACTACACGGAGAAGGGATACAGAGGCAAGAAATGCTAGATTAAATTCAGTCAAGTGTTGCTCCCAAGAGCAGGTGGGGGAGAGGGGATAGAAATGTTGCAGAGCCTTTTCTTAAAGCAATGGGACTTGACTGACAGGTTACAGGGTATTATGGTAGAACGTGACTTGTCACAGACCGTGTTTGCACGAAGATGCATTGGAGAGGTACGAGGGCATTCTCCATGGAGTCAGTACCTGCTGCCCCAGTGCTGGTCCAGGCTGCTGCAGTCAGCACAAGGACCGTGACCTGCGCCAGGAGCCTGAGCGTTGTGCCTGGTGCTCCTTGCACACATCACTGCCGAGTGTTTGTAGTCTGGATATCAGTGGCACAGGAACAGTCCTGATAAATGGATTCCTGCAGCATGTCCTGCCTCATGACACAGCTTAGGCGCTCCCCTGCACTGTGTTATGCTCTCTGATGCAAAGGCTTTACACGTGAGGGCCTTGAATGTTCTTCTTTCCAAGAATGATCTACAACTGTCCTGAAACTCATGCAAATCTGCAGTGATACATCAACATCTGTAAATCCCTTAAAACATGCATATTTGTTTTGTCCAAGGTGTAGAACTGTACTTGGACATTCCTGCAGGAAAATAACTGCACCATATCACATGTGATGTTTATTTACGGTTTTATTTGGTTTTTGAAAAACGATGATGATTACAGAGTTCCATATTAAGGCCTAAATTCTTATTTCTAGATTTCTGAGATTGACTTTCAAGATTCCATTCATGTTCTGGGATTCTCAGATGAATTGAACAAATCCTTGCTCCAGCTGTACCTTGACAACAGGAAGGAGATCAGGACCATTCTTGGAGAGCTGGCACCGAGGCTGCCCAGCTACCACAGTCTGGAGTGGAGACTGGATGTGCAGGTGATTTCCCTGATGTTTTTAGTATTTCATATTTTACTTCACATTTTTTTAACATCATAAAAAACTTATAAACAGTGTAAAAGTAATTGAGGTAGCAATACTTCATGTATTTAAAACTGACACGACCTCGTTAGTGCCTCACAGCCGACCAGTTGTAAGATGAACAGGATATGCAATGATGGAAAGTACTTGTTGCCTGATGAAAACTGAATTCATGGCTTCATTGGTGTTTTAAAAGTGTTAGCATATACAAAATATATTTGGTCTTGATTATCACCTAATTTTCAGAAGCATTATGAAAGCGTTGATTAAAGTGGGTTAGTATTCCGTAATGATCGTGTGTATCTTTAATGTGGATAAAAAGGGTTTCTGAACAGTCCTCCAAGCAGATTCTGCAAACCTGGTGGGAATTGTAGGTACAAACATCAATAACTATTGTTTGTTTCCCTGTTCCCATCTCATCAAACCGCTCCTGCAGCTTGCAAGCAGAAGTTTGAGACAACAGATCAAGCCTGCTGTGACCATGAAGCTACATCTTAACCAGAATGAAGATCAAACTGCCCAGGTGTTGCAAACTGACCCTGCTACCCTCCTCCACCTGATCCAGCAACTGGAGCAGGCACTGGGGGAGATGAAGACAAACCACTGCAGGAGAATAGTGCGCAACATGAAATAGCCTCAAGTCCTGCCTGCTCTTGGACTAAGCAGTTTGTGAAACAGCTCAAAACAATGCTCACAGATACGTTTTGAGGAATAAGAAACATCTGGATCAGATGAACTGCTTTCCTGTGCCAGGATCTTGAGCCAGTAATTACAGGCCAAATGTCCTCGGCTGCCAGCTTTGCAAACCTGACTGGTACAAGATAGGTAATGGGGTTTGCTTTACTTGCAAATGGAGGCATTCAGCATACTATGCTGAGAATTCCTTTAGTTCCTTTAGTTCTAAATTACTATAGATCTGCTTGAGCTTTCCTACCTTAGGTAGAATTGTCTCAATATTATACGAAGCTGCATATTTATAAATAATTTTTTCTCTTTTGAAATATTTTTTAAACCCTTACAGTGGTGGGAATGATACTTTGCAGGAAGATTTCTCCCGTGTGGACTCAGGTGTGTGTAAAAGCCGATGTGGGACTGCTGCCCTTTTCCTGCAGAGGGGGAGTGCGTCAATGTGGGCTGGTGTGACACTGCTGCTCTGCCCTTCTCACCTATAACCAAGCTAACATTCCGTTAGCAGAGCCTGCTGTGACCCCCCAGGACAGCTGAGGCTTTCTGCAGCCGGCCCAGTGGCCTGCACTGGGTTGGCAAACTGGTTATTTGTGAGGGTGGTCTGAAAACTTGCAAAAGCAGAGCTGTGGGTGAGGAGGCAGGTAAAGAATAGTGTTAACCTCTGCTAACTCTGGTCTTCGTGCCCTGATGCTATGGTTTGCGTTCCCCTGTTCGGGTCGTGCTCATAAAGGCAAGACCGGCTATTGCAACCAAAATTATGCTTTTCCATCGTTAAGAAAAATGTCTAATAAAGATGATGTCAAAAGTCACTTTTCAGTTTTATTTTAATGCAGTATTTTGCAGCTTTTGTGAGTAGGATTGAATAGTTTTAGTAATCAATGCTCTAGTGTCTGAGGGTGCATCATAAAGGCCCTAAAGTATATAGGAGAGGATGAAAAGGCGAGAGAGAACCATAACATACAGATTCTGGCAATAACTATATTCACTGTCTTTCATGGCAACACCATAAACTTCTATTTTAAATATGTTTTTACATTCAAAACTGCATTCTTTTCTTTCTGTTTTGAATTTTTGTACCTCTGAGAGGTACTATTTCAAATTAAACCTGCATGGCTGAAGTGCCTTAAAAAAAGTTGTCAGGAACCTGGAGTTGCCTGTTCTGCAGATGCTGTGCAGTGTGGCAGCGGTGTGAACAAACTGAATTTCCTCTTCCCGTGCATCAGCCATGTGTTTCTTTTATCATCCATATGTGGTAACCCTTTTCATAGAATCATCTTCATATATAATACATGGTAATTAAATGTCACTACTTGGGATTTTTGGTTTGTATTTTTTTTTATAATTTGCCTCTGTTTTCAGTGAGACACAAAAACAGCCAAAAAAAGTAGGTGAGTGGTTCCCTCATATTCCATCTTTTCTCACTCTATCCATAGTCTGTAACTCAGGGCAGCAAGACAGGAATTTTAGATACAAATCCTTGAAGCTTTTTGTGTCATTGCCTGATGAACTTTTTGTCTCTTAAACTTCTTAAAAAAAACCCCAGCTGCTCTAGAGCTGACTAACATCATGGTAAGTGCTGGCAATCTACATGTGTCACATCCTGAAGCGTGTGCTAGCTGAGAAGGGGAGGGTTTCCCGTGGGGATCCTGAGTAAAATGGACAGTTGAAGGCAGATATTGAGAATGGAAAATGAAACACTTGTTTCCCTTTACAAAAAATGACCTGAATTGAGGATGGTCAAAGTTAAACTTGAAAGCTGAGTGAAACTGAGAGAAACTCAAGCTCTCGCAGGGATCCATGAACAGACAAGAGAGAGGGAGGGGCAAAGATCCTTTACACCAAGTGTGTTGCTTTTGAATTTGTACCTTTCAGTTTGTTCTGGGGGAAGAACTGAGCCTGGAAAAGCAGCTGCTTGGCAGGAGGATTTCGGCTTCATTATTGGAAAGGCAGATTTGCCTTTAGGTGAGGTTGGAACTGGTCTAACTCCACCTCTGCAAGTTCTCCTTTCCTTGTTTTCACAGCACCCATGACAGCTACTGAGGGCTTGGCACCTGAAGCGCACGGGCGAGTGACCACGCAGCACTGCCGGTGCCACGGAGGGCGGGTGAGGCTGGGTAGGGAAAAGGCATCTACATCAGTAACCCAGGGAGCCTGGTAAAATAAGAATTCACCTTTGCATCTGTTTCTTTAGGTTTTTCAATCTGGATTTTTCGGTTTTGTAAACTCCCAAGTGAAAGGTGGCATATAAAGCTATATTTAATGCATCTTCTGTAATGAACTTGCACTTGCTTTATAGAAACAGGATATGGAGACTATAAAGCATTTTCACAAGCTATTAAAATGTTATGTTGCTACTTTTAACCCATTTTATTTTAGTAGGCTTTTTCAGATTTGCTCTGGTACCTAGCCAATCAAAGCCAAGTGACATTTGAGGCCATTTCTCTACTATTCGAGTGTGGAAGAACTGATTGTTGATTTTATAACAGAAAAAAGTGACTTTCAACTTACCTCTTTAAGGGTTAAGTAGCTTTTTTTTTCTAAATGACTAACCAATTTGATTTGTAGGAAGTGCAGCATTGTAATCTTGCAGCAAATTACATCCCTCAAGTCTGAGGAAGTTGACTCCATTGCTATTTCACCTATTAAGTATGGAACATAATCTGTTGGCCCCACTGCATAACCTCTATACATTTGGTTTTACTGCAGATTGCCTTTGGCAGAACTGCCCTTCCTGAGTATTTCAAGGAATGTTGGGGTTTATGAAGGGAGCAACATGTGAGGGTTCCCTCTCACTTTTCTGACAGAGCACTAAATCCAGGTGAGCGTCCTGTCAGTGCAGCCTCTGAGCGCACAGACCAACTAAAAACGCAACTAGTTTAGGCATGAAATAGATTATTTTCTTAAAAGCAGAGCCAGGCTTGGCCCTCAGCTACATACTTCCCAACAGATCTGTGTCCCGGTCTACGTGCTCCTGCTTTAAATGGTAGAGGGCACAGAGTTCGGGTTTTATAATCCAGAAAGGAGACATTTCACTACACAGTGGGTGTTTGTCTTCCAATGAGAATTGTTCATGGTCTCAAGAGTTGGCTTGGGATGTGCTTCACCTGACATTTTCCAAAACTGGAAATGAATAAAACTTCCAGTTTTCAACCACTATAAAACATTGTTTCCTGAATCTGAACATTATCTGCTCGGCTGCTTAGCAGAGAACAAAATGTAACCCAGTTCTTAAAACTCAGGGTGGTGTAATTTGTGTAGTGGTGTAATACATTTATATTCTTTTAAACACTCAATAAACTCAAGAAGCAATGCTGTTCTTCCTGGTTTTTTTTTTTCCTAAATTCTTTTGAATCAGCTCTGCACTATCATATCCATTTTGTACAATCTGCTATTTAAGTTTCTATTGCAAGTTTTAACCAATTTCCTTTCTCTGAGGTGTAGTTAGACTCTCCTACAAGCTTTATTTTCTTGTACTTTTGTTTGTCTCTGCCACATGTTCTTTCAGTCTTCTAGTGTAAGCAATACTTGTCCACCTTTTAACTTGCCAATTAGTTAGATGTTCCCTGAATTATACGGGGGAACTGTTTTCTTCTGAACATCTCTGAAGTCAGTTTAGATAGATATATATATATGAACAAAATCAGTGTCTGAATTTTGCATTAGGCCTACAGTTCTTACTTACCAGAAGAACCACTGAACTAAGATTTTTTTTCTTAGCATTGTATTTTGGATTTAACACTAACTGTGCTGTTTATGAAATGTGTCTGTGTCTAGGGCTAGAGGTTTGAATAGTGGTCTTATGTCAGTTCCAGTGTTTGTAAGAATGCCTGTTTTCTATACTGTGATTTTGCCCAGGATAGGGTAGGTGGTGGGTAGGAAAAGAAGTCCAAGATTAGGAATAACCTGGCAAAACTCCATGAGTGAAGCCCTTACTTGTCTGAATAAACGGCACAAATTCTCACTCTGTGCTTGGCTTTGTTGTCAGGGTCAGGTTTATTACACCACAACTGATTTTGTTAAATACTTATGCTGATTTTATTTTCAAGACAATATATATGTATGCATGTATATATATACATATACATACACACACTTATTAGGGGACAGCTGGTATGTTGTACATGGACAGCAGAAGCTCATAGATGCTGCACCTCAGCAAATCTGTATTGGACACAGGGAATTCAAGCTGGAAGACTCTCCCAAAATACCAAATCTGATTATAATTAAACTACTAGCTTTGTTTTCTGGCAAAATCCACACCAGAAAACCCTCTCCATGTACATGCAGTTTATTGACACAGAAGAAAACTGTATCTTTCTGCAAGTTAAATTAGTTCTGCTACAAAGGCGTGTTTTGTGCCGGTGTGCTGGCCAGCACTGCCCTGTGCTGCCCTGTGCTGCCCTGGACAGCAGAGCTGAGCCAGGCTGCCTTGGCTCTGCAGCCGCTCCCTGTTTCAGCCGTGGTGGCTGGGTCCTTGTTCTGGGCTGTTGGCACTGTGCACACAGGGACTCCAGGCCGACACAGCTACTCTGGAACAACTCTGGCCCATCAGATCACCCTGTATTATAATAATTTCTGTATTTCTTTTTGTCATTCTGAAGTGGCAGATCAGGTCCCACTTTATCTTACGTGATTATTTTGGGATTTAATAATCCCACCAAATTTGGCCAAAAATCATCTCCCAAATCTGCCTCAAGTAACTAAAAAACGGGTAGTTTTTATATCCTTTAAACATTACCACCATTTTCACAAGCGTGAGTTTGTTTCCCAATTCATTTATGTGCAAAGTCAGCTATATTAGCGAACCTCACTGTCAGCAGCAGTTGGAGATGCCTGAGACAAACCAGTGATGGCCTGTCTCTGTATTTGTTCCTCTGTCTCTTGGGAGAGACCACGCTGAGTTCAGTAAAGAGGCTGAAACAAGCAGCTGCAGCACAGGGACTTCTGACATGGCTTTAACTGTTTGGAAACTACACAGTGCAGCCTTCCCCAGATCCTAGTGCAGACTGCCCCTACCTAGTGTGTCAGCTGCCCTTGCTGGGGAGTGTCTGCATGTCCCATTCTGCTGGCTGGGCTCTAAGGCTCAGTCTCTGAGACTCAAACACTGCTGCAATTTTTTGGTTAGAGCAGCTGTTTCCAAAATGAATGTCTGAGCAGTCATCTACTAGAGATGTCCACACAGCTTGCTTGCCAATAAAATTACATCAACTTATAAAACAACATGAACTGAGCTGACAGAATTGGGTTTCTGCGAGCAGCCTGCCCACACCAGAGGTTTTGCTGTCTGGGGAGGGATATGCTTACACAGCTGCTTTGAGGAAACTCCTAACAGACACCAGGTCTTTGTATTCAATAAACCACAGCACAGTTGCCTACATAGGACATGCTTTGCATGCATCCCAAGATGCCAGCCAAAGTCTCGAAGCTGTCAGTCACCTGAGGAACAAACAGCTGGGAAATGCACCCAGACAAAAAGAAGCATTGACCCCTTTGTGAACAAACACACTACATTTACAGAAGTCCGCTTTTGCAGAAGTCTCTTGAAAATTAGATTAATACAGAACTACTAGCAAGAGCAGAATACACAAAAAAGTTTATCAAACAATACCCCGTTGCCATAAGAATAAATAAAAATTATTTGCATGACAAATTGTATGTTTTTAGAGTGTAAGTACGTGTGTGCTGCACATATTTACCTTTTTATAGTGAAACTCCATGAAACATGTTTACTGTTCCATTGTGTTCCTTGTTCTCCTATTTAGTTTGAAGGAACACAAGTGTTCTGTACTTATGTGGCTCCTCAGCTGACGCACAGGGAGCACCCAGCTGTAGTTACTGCCCACTCAGAGTCTCCTTGCACAGAACTAACCTAAAGCAGGGCCAGAGCCCGAGCTGTGCTGTGTCCCTGTGTCTAGGGTACCCAAAAGCACAAGGCTTGCCCAGGGATCCTGGATGTTTTATTTTCTAACAGATATCACTCATGCAGCTTCACCAATGTGGGCTTTCTCAGAAAAATTAAATCTATGTAGGGCTTTGATGCTGAGCAGCGATGGATCTGGATTAAAAATTACAACATGTGGTATTGTTTCTTTTAACTCATTAGATGGTCATCATCTAAGAGTACATTTAAAAGTGCACTTATTTCTTCTAGCTATTTGCTTGGGCTTCTGCTGAAGTGTAGATTGAACTTGCTGCTAGAAAATCCACAAGTAGAGTACTGGACTTCAGTAAATCCTTCAGTTGAACAAAAAACCTCTGTACTACTCAAAAACATTTGAACAGCACATTAAATCGAGAAAAATAATGTAATTGTCTT